TTGACTCTTGCGACCCCCTTCTGGGGTATGAGAGTACAACAAATTACATGTCATGATAATGATACATACATAGCATAATAATAATACAAAGAATACAGAATACAACAAAACATCAATACAAGTGTATAACGATAAATGGGAAAGATCTACACCTAGGCTGTATATGCTAAACATAAGTACAATATATATTATAAAATATGGCAAGCATACATAAAGAGTGGAGAATATCACATGAACAATATAAATACCCCAAAACACACATAATAATTGTCCTAATTATCTAACAAAATACAATTTCTTTTTTTGTGCACGTAAGTGAGATGTGATTGGATTGTTAAGATTTATGCACACTATATACCAAAAGTACGGCATAATAATTGTCCCTAGAAAGATAAATCCAAATCACTTTGCAGTGCTTTCCAAAACATTAACAAAAATAAATAAAAATAAGCAAAATAAGAACAAACAATCAAGTAAAACTATACTTTACCTACTGCAAGACAGTACTAAAGAACAAGAATTGTTGGTTACTTAATTAACCTATATATACCACTTCGAGTTGTAACACTCCTTTTTATGGGTGACATAATTATGATTGGATTGTTCAGATTAATATAGACCTGCAAAATATGACAGTATTATCTTTAAAAAGAGTACTAATTTGTTCAGCTGTCCTATACCGAAATGTAAAAATAAATTCAACATTTGTAATGTTCAAGGGCGTTTAACTGTTACTTTACGACCTAAATATAACTCTCTTTCCTTTCTGAAAAAAAGGGCATACACAAACATAATGGAATTCATGACCAGACTATCACAACATAGGCATTCAAATACGAATTTTATTAAAAGCTTATTTGAATCTGTTATAATTATAATTGGTAAACGTTGTGACCTACATCTAAAAGCTTTGCTGATTCGATTGTTTCTTTTTATCCTGTATAAATATGTCAAATAAATAAAAAAAATAAAAAAAATAAAACGGCTCAATGTTATTTTATCCTTTTTACTCAGCACACCTGAATAGTTCATAGTTAGTTCATAGCCTTCATTTTATTTCTTCTTTCACAAAAACGTGTACATAGGATTTCAAAAAAGTCACATGAACAGCAGATTGGCATACAAACATAATTTGAATTGCAATATTAATTCAACATACAACTCTTGTCATTAACTTTCTATAAAAAGTTATTGATGTAAGATCATGTTCTGCATGAAAGAAAGAGAAGACCTTATAGAAGCTGGGTTTGTTAGAGCAAGGTCCTCAAACATAATATAATACCTGAATGCTTTCATTACTTTAAAGAAAAAAAACTTTAAAACGAAACAATTACACATGGGAAATATATTTGCAAAAGAGATAGATCATTGAAGTATATATGAAAAGGAGAAAATGGAAAGATATATATATATATATATATATATATATATATAAAAGGATGGAGAGCTACAGCACAAAACGGAACAAAACAAAAGTTGAGAAGGAAGAAAGTTATATGTAGGGGAAATGGTGATGGGGAAAAATAGAAGAGAGAGAGAAAAGAAAAAATACAATAGAGCAAAACAGAATACCTTCCAAAGAGACAATCATTTTATTTTTAAAGATCCTATAATTTAGGCATACACTGTTTGACCAAATTGTTGTCATCACATCTTGTTTTGAAATATCGTTTAATCTCAACTTCAGAGTGCTCAGTCTCCAACTAACTTGCCAAATCCTTTCCCAATTATTTTCCAAGCTCCAATTATGAAAGGGTGAAAAGGGGCGACAATCGCATTAAAGAGATTGAAGACCGAGATAGCCATCAAAAAATTCTCCGCGTGTGTATTCCCGCGTGGGTAACCCGACACATGCTCCGCCGACGATTGCTCCGCCGACATTTACTCCGCAAAACGCGACAATTGCTCCGCGACATTTGCTCCGCGACATTTGCTCCGACGTCAAATGCTCCGCCGACAGTTGCTCCGCCGACAGTTGCTCCGCCGACAGTTGCTCCGCCGACAATTGCTCCGCCGACAGATGCTCCGCCGACAATTGCTCCGCCGACAATTGCTCCGCCGACAATTGCTCCGCCGTCAATTGCTCCGCAAAACGCGACAATTGCTCCGCCGACATTTGCTCCGCCGACATTTGCTCCGCCTGAAGCGACAATTGCTCCGCCGACATTTGCTCCGCCGACAATTGCTCCGCCGACAATTGCTCCGCCTGAAGCGACAATTGCTCCGCCGACATTTGCTCCGCCGACATTTGCTCCGCCGACAATTGCTCCGCCGACAATTGCTCCGCCTGAAGCGACAATTGCTCCGCCGACATTTGCTCCGACGACATTTGCTCCGCCCAAAAAGTGTCCCATAAACTACAAATGCTACTAGTACTACGACAAATGCTTCGCCGACAATATTTTCTTTACACCTATTTTTTTCGTTTCTTTTTTTCTTCTTCATTTTCTGAATGCATTTCTTGAAATAATGTAGATGAAATGAAATGAATGAATGTTGATGAAGTGGGAGGAAAAAGGAGTTACCTAAAAGTCATTTCGAATATACTGAAACAACTTTCCATCTATCACTGTACGTCCCATATAATGTATACTAAACACTCATTACATGTCGTGGGAAGTTTTTAAAAAAAAGTAGAGCAGCAAGCCACATTCCCCAATACGCGCATACCTCCTAGTTAATTTCAAGTAGCTCATCAATATGTAATACCTGAAATAATTTACCTCGATCAATGCATCTTAGTAGGTAAAGCATTATACAATGTAATAGGTCATCATGGAAGTTTAGAAAATAAGTAAGGGGGATTTACCAAGTGTTGATCTTTTTAAGAGTTTTATAAAGAAACAAAAAGATATTGAATATTTCTCAGCGAAAAAAAGGAACAAGCTTGTTTCGCATTTTAAGAAATGGCGATTTGACTTATGATACTCATGTTGATTTAACTTTTATTCCTGTGCCCCCTCACTCCCCTTTATGCACTGGAGTTCAAACTATGATTTATATGTGTACAGTGTATTTTTTTTTTACTATAATGTTTTTTTTTTATAACTTTCTTGTCCTTTCATTATTGTTAGTTGTTCTTATATACATATTGTTTTTTTGTTTGTCTAATTATTACCAATGACTTGTAAATATGTAATTTTTATATGATTGAAAATTTAATAAACACACAAATATATAAAAAAAAGTTTATAAAATAAGGGCACTTATATACGTAAGGAAGAGAACCCATTCAGACGGGAAAATGAGATGGCAGCCTTTCTGCTTATTCACATTTATACAAATCATTTTGTTGCAGTTTGATGTTAGTTCTTCATGATAAGCCAATTGCTCTTCTTCCGGTGGCTTCGTGAGTCCCTTAAATTATTTAGTGAAAACAAAGTACTCGAATGAAACGGAGTGTTTTGCACACTAACATATATATATTAAAGCTACATACACTTAACTAAAGGAAAGAAACCTTTAGAAAATGGACTGGATATTATTGGAAATATTATTCTAAACAAGAATGTACTACATGATTGTATTACTTTACGTTTCAATTTCACGAGAGAAATAGAACTCGAGAGGGGGAGCAGAGAAGAAGTGATGGAAATGAAAGAAGACTAATAGCATGAGAGGAAAGAAAAGAGCAAAGAAGACAAGAAAACGGTGTAAACAGGAAAAGGAGGAGCATGGGAGAGAGAGAAAGAGAGAGAGAGAGAGAGATAGCCTTGAGCTTTGGATCAGCTAATGAGTAATACATGAAGCAGATTTTGAGCGGAGTAATTATCTTTCGCCGGAGAACTTGCGTAAGGAGCTATAATTTTATTTTTTATTTTTTTAAATCAAACATTATGGGGAATAGCAAAAAACGGTTGTCTTTTTTGCTCTTTTCTTTCCTCTCATGTTATTAGTCTTCTTTCATTGAGGTAATTTCAGGTCTTGCATATTGATGAGCTGTTTGAAATTAACTAGGAGGTATGCGCGTATTGGGGAATGTGGCTTGCTGCTCTACTTTAAAAAAAAAAAACTTCCCATGACATGTAATGAGTGTTTAGTGTACATTATGTGGGACGTACAGTGATAGATGGAAAGTTATTTCAGTATATTCGAAATGACTTTTAGGCAACTGCTTTTTCCTCCCACATTATCAACATTCATTCATTTCATTTCATTTACATAATGTCATGAAATGCATTCAAAAAATGAAGAAAAAAAGAAAGAAACAAAAACAACCCGTGAAAAAAAAATATTGTCGGCGAAGCATTTGTCGTAGTACTAGTAGCATTTGTATTTAATGGGACACTTTTTGTCGGCGGAGCAAATGTCGTCGGAGCAAATGTCACCGGAGCAAGTGTCGCTTCATGCGGAGCAAATGTCGTCGGAGCAATTGTCGGTGGAGCAATTGACGGCGGAGCAAATGTCGGCGGAGCAAATGTCGGCGGAGCAAATGTCGGCGGAGCAAATGTCGGCGGAGCAAGTGTCGCTTCAGGCGGAGCAAATGTCGGCGGAGCAAATGTCGGCGGAGCAATTGTCGCGTTTTGCGGAGCAATTGACGGCGGAGCAATTGACGGCGGAGCAAATGTCGGCGGAGCAAATGTCGGCGGAGCAAATGTCGGCGGAGCAAGTGTCGCTTCAGGCGGAGCAAATGTCGGCGGAGCAAATGTCGGCGGAGCAATTGTCGCGTTTTGCGGAGCAATTGACGGCGGAGCAATTGTCGGCGGAGCAATTGTCGGAGGAGCAATTGTCGGCGGAGCATCTGTCGGCGGAGCAATTGTCGGCGGAGCAACTGTCGGCGGAGCAACTGTCGGCGGAACACCTGTCGGCGGAGCATTTGACGTCGGAGCAAATGTCGCGGAGCAAATGTCGCGGAGCAATTGTCGCGTTTTGCGGAGTAAATGTCGGCGGAGCAATCGTCGGCGGAGCATGTGTCATGGAACCCCCGCGTGTGTACTAGTAGTCCTGTCCTGCGATGGTATCCGGATTGGACGCATGCAAACTAAGCTCGCGCACAAATAGGTAGAAGTAAGCTATCTCTTCCTAATATATTCTGTAAGCAATCTATTATCATTGATGCTTTCCTGGAGTGCATAAAACCAGACACAGTTTTCGTCTTTATTTGTATGCAACAAACCTAAAGCAAAAATGCATTTCTCGATACCTGACACCCAAGAGTGCAAGGACGAGCAAGGATCAAGTTATAGGGTAAGAATGGTACAACGTGATTTATATCCCTTTCATGTATTTTTTTTTAGTGGGAGGTTTCCCATTTTTACTGTTCGGTCCCATTCCTTAAGTTTTGTGTTTCAGTTGAAGAAAAAAAAAAATGGGCATAGCCATAGAGAAAGACCGCCAAACTTCGGACACTCAAGACAAAACGGGGGAAAACATTAAATTCTTTTTTAATTATTGAAAGATCAAATATACTATTATTGTGCAAATACTGTTTATGTATGTCATGTAAAAGAAAATGAGTAAAGGAAATGGAAAACTAGAATTATTTACTTACCCACCGAACCTTTTTTCACGCCAAGCTTCGGACGCACTTGCCAAGCTTCGGACGTTCATGTGTAGCGCACGTATAGCGCACGTATATCGCACGTATAGCGCGCGCGCTAAAGTGCGCATTCATCAGGGGTTTGGAAACCGGATCGAAAATCGTAAGACGGGGGTAAGTTTAACTGCGTTGATTTCATGAAAAAAAACATTATTTTCTCGTTTTGGGTAGATTTAAGTTCGGTAGAACTATCAAAAAGGTGTTTTTCACAATACTCACACAATATTTTGGTGCTAAAATCTTACGAAAGCGCTATTTTTTGTAGTCATAATGACACTCAATGTTGCCTGTCCGAAGCTTGGAAGAGCGCCATCTTCCGGTAGGGGTACCTGTATACTACCCCTAGGTCCGTGGTAACGGCCGCCATTAGAAAATTTTCGCGATAGAGTGAAAAAGTATCTCATAAGCTCTTATAATTTTGGCAGAAACCACCTGAAATATGCCAAGGATTTGTTTGTAATCGATATATTGGAGGCTCTGCACCTTAACTCCCCTGTTAAGGGACTGTAAAAATCTAGGTAACCTGAAATCTGTCCCTGAATTTGATATTTTTTGTGAGTTTTGCAGATGGCTACCTGCCCTAACTTTCTGTACTAACGATATAGGTTAGTAGTAGTATCAAATGCATGCAAGTTACCCACCTGAGCTAGGCTCATATTTTGCGTTCGAGCCGTTAAAGTAATTTTTGTCCGAAGCTTGGCAACGTCCAAAGTTTGGCGGTCTTACTCTAAATCATTCGGATGGAATTTTTTCAGTGCCAGGTTTTCTATTATTGGGCAAAAGGCATGGATTCCAAAACAGTTACCGGTAAACATTCTCTCAAAGCGTTATAGGACCCTCACAACTATCTTTTTGATCATTATCAAGTTTGAGAAGGAAAAATATCATCTGTAATATTACAATCAATCGGGTTGCGTGAACTGTACAGATTCTCATAAAATGACATTTCTTCAAAATTATATCTATGGCATCAGTTTTATATAACATCTGTGTGAATGAGGTCACCCCCTGTTCTGCTGTTCCCTTCAATGTTGGTTCAAATATTTATGCGTGAAAAGGTCTTCCCCATGGTTACTTCCTACTCATATGTATATTTCTCTCTCCTCAGGTTTATAACGTCCATGTGAATGGGGTCTTCCACTGCTCAGTTCGCTACTCGCAGCTCCATGACTTCAACGAACAAGTCAAGAAGGAATTCAGCAACAGCTTCACAGGATACCAGAAGTTTCCCCCCAAGAAGTTCCTCTCCCTCACCCCGTCACAGAGAGAGGAGCGAAGGGAGAAGCTTGAGAAGTACATCCAGATTGGTAAGGAATAGTCTCTCTTGCATTTGTATTAAATTAAATAATAATAATAATAATATGGAGTATTTGTAACGCCCCAACTCCACATGAATAATCAGTTTGAGGCACAATGGAGGAGAAAAATTACACAAAAAAAAGAAAAAAAAAGAATAACAACAATGTTAAAGTAAATCTACTGGAATGCTGCTTGTTTATAGGAATTCTACAGTGCTTTCCCCAGTAAAAAATTGAGTGTTTACAGTTGGAAAGAGTCTCCTCCAAAGAGATTTTTCAACAAAAAAAATAAAATCAGGTTATAAAAATATTTTAAAAAACCCTGTAAAGGTACCTTATTATACCAGAGTGATTGAAGTTATATGCCATCTCCATATGTGTCATGTCAATATCATATCGAAACAAAACGATTGTATATGTGTCTATATATGTTTATATGTCATGCTTAAATTAAACAGCAGAATTTCACTATCCAGATTTCTCATTGCATAGCAGTTTGCTTGATGGTAATCTTGAATCTCTACAGAATACATTCTTTATAAAACGATTTCTTGCTACCTTGGGGATTTCATTTACCTCTAAAAAAAAAGGAGAAAATGTGAAAAAAATTATAATTTTGTTTATTATGTTTTTCATACAGTAAGCCAAGATCCGAGGATAGCGAACAGCGATATATTCAATGGCTTCCTCCTTACATCACAAAAAGAGACGAGACAAGAAGAACCTGTCGACGTTCAGCTTGAAGTCTACATGATGAATGGTAGTAGGGTCAAAGTGGACATCAAATCAACAGACCAAACAGATGATGTATTAGAGGTGCGTTGACTGTCTTTTCTTCTGATATACTGCGATTATTATTCGCTTCTACTTGTATACTGTAACCATTGCCTTTGGATTTGTGATAGAAATGAGAACATGTAAGGCTTACAGAAAGCTAAATATTGGGAGTGCCAATCGATTTGTGTATGCCCTGCATGCATGACATTGGCAAGACATTGATCTACATTTGCCACATTCAGCAACCCAGGTGATGTAAATGGGTACCTGGCAGGAATAAATTCTTTGGAAAGCTAGAGCGCCGTAATGGCAGCACAGCTAAAGCTGGGGTGATAATCTCCAAGTTTGGAAGCGCTTAGTGATTGTAATAAGCGCTATAAAAACTGAGTAGTATTATTATTATTGAAAATAATATCGCTAGTGTTATTTGTGTGTCTCGCAATGTTTGGTTAACAAGGGATCTAAAAGATCACACCGTTTTCGTGCGCCGCTGCAACACTTCGTCATGAAATTGAGCTTCAGACCTGCTTGAGAAATCCTGTAGTCTGAAAGGTGTGTCAGGAAAAAAAAATAATTTAACAACTTCGGGGGCTACTGTTCAAGCTTTTTTTCCATGAAAATAACACTTTTTAATTTGTTTTGCATTGAACTCTATGCAAATTTTTTTTGGCTCTTTTATGACTTTCGGGGGCTCTTTTTGGCATTTCGGAGGCTAATAACCACAAGCCCCCGTGTATTTTTTGCACTGAGGTGTGTAGATGGTATATACCTTGCCCTCGTAATCTAGGAGCCATGGCTTCATCCAGAAAATTATGTACATGTAGCTCTGAACAAATACACATCTATATTACTAATACGCAAAATCGCCGCGGGGGGTCCAACACGGGCCAAAACGGTTCCTCAAAAACGTCTTTCCTTGACCCCGCCCGCCTCCGCCGTGGCGCGGGGAGGGCGGCACAATTCCACGAGGCCTGTCTCCCGTAACCCGCGTGCCACGACGACCCCGCGATCGACGTCCATGCCGTTAAACGCGGTTTCGGGGCGGACGAGAGCACGGCGGGCGTCGCGGATTGCGAGGAGGCGACGAACCCGCGAGAGCGAGTCGGCAAGCGTGCACCCGCCCTCTGTCTAATTATCAAAGAGAGACGAAGAGACACACGATGGACGAGAATCCACTCGCGTCAACGGGTGTAGCAAGTCTCATTGTAAAGGCTGCGGCATATCCCGAGTAAGGCCTCTTGCTATAGGATTTGCTTTGTAGCATGTAAGAGAAATACACATCAACAGACGATTCACCCGGGTGAGGGGATGTAGCCAATATGTACGCTCAACGGGTTGAGCTTACCCGTGTTATGCGTCTTTCTTTAGGATATGCTTTGTAGGCCAGGCGGACCTGCTGTGTGTACGAACGTACGTGTATAATGTTTGCGATGATTCTACGCTCACCATCACACGCACAGCTCAGTCGGTTCGACTCTGATTCTATGATGATTGCCGTGATTTGTATATAGTTTACGTGAATAGAGGTATGCAGGGTTACTTTGGTATTATCTGTCCATGTTTACTGAATTGTGATAATCATTCTTCAAAGTAAAGTTTTCACAAGAAATTCATCGTAACTGACAGTTCAGTTGCAAGCTAGCTGCCGTGAGGCACGGGCGGTGCAGTGCGCCACTGCTGCCGAGCACTGTCGGAACTGTGACTGTGTGTGAGGTGAGGTGAGCTGAGCTGAGCTATTATAGAGTAGACTGGACAACATTTTGAAATTGCTGTTATTGCCGCTATTTCAATATAGTTTCGTGACTATAGAGGTATGAAACCTGAGCTTAGATTGTGATTATTCTGGCCATGTATAGTTGTATACTGAATTTCGATAATCATTTTTCAAAGTAAAGTTTTCACAAGCAAGGTAAAGTTTTCACAAGAAAATCAGACGGTCGTCATGGTCGTTTAAAAACATGATAATACTTTTAGTATGATACAGTTCTTGCATCAAATCAATTTTTAAAGTATGGGGGGGGGGGGTCAGGTAACTCAAAGCGATTTGAGTGCAGGCGTGGTGTCCACGGGTACAAAGGGCTGAACCCCCGAAAGCTCGGGGTTTTTCGGCATTTAATTACGGTCAGATGAGCATATTTTTAATACCTTATTTGTGACACAGCTGGCAGGTCATCACTAATTGGCGTGGGGTCTATAGTAGAGTTGCGTACCAACTACGCTGAGCTGAGAGTACGCTGGCCTACGTTACTATACCCTGAGGGACGCAAAAAAAGTACGCAAGATGGACACAAACAATTTAATATGTTTAACAAAATTCGCGCACTTTCGGCGTAGAAACTTGACGCGGAAAGTACGCCTTTTTTTACGTAACACTATGCTACTAAACTAAACAAACTGCATCTTTAAATGAATTAATGAAAAATTAGCCCAAGAAAAATGAGCCCCCGAAAGATAAAAAAGTAGCCCCCCAAAATTTTCCCAAAATTTGATATAGATCGAGTCCCCGAAAAAAAAAAATCTTTCACTGGATTCTACGCTCACAGTCCCACACACAGTCGAGTCAATTCATGCACAAACCGTTTGATTTTTTGCGTAAAATCTTTACTTTGAAAATAATTATACACATTTTGTGAACAATGCCAACATAATCATAATCCAAGCCTCTGCATATGTAGTCTTTTCATGAAACTACATTGAAATCACAACAATAATAATGCAAATAAATCGTAATTATCGAGATCCTTTCTGACATAGTTTGTTTTACGATGCGCCATTCATGGTCAAACAGCATATATTATAAAAATTCTCTATATAAAGATAATCTAATTTTTTTTTGGATAGCACATAGGCCTCTATCTATATATCTATTTGGCCCCCTCCCCTAGAATCCCGTGGATTTTCCACGGGTCCTGCTAGTACATGTACTAATATTCAAAGAGACAATTCACATATTCCTTCGATGTGAACAGTTGAGCTAGATATAATTGTTATCTGGAAGTACAAAAAGATTACCTACAGCCTGTAATGCTACCTGGACAGAGAAAAAATAATAGCATGATATATTCTTGTTCTTCCTTTTTTTGCGTAAAAGCATTTGATGGAAAAAAAGAAGTATCACAAATTCATCTAATGTTTGCGATATTTGTGCTGTAAATCACTCATAATGAAGCTAAAACGTTTGGGGGTAGAGTCACTGCCCGGCAAGCAGTAGTAATAAATAATAATAATAGGCATTCTATGGAGCCGTCTAGCAAGAAATTCTATTCTCAGGCGCACTGATTATTATCCCGGCTTCAGCCTAGCTGCCATTACAGCGCTCTAGAATTAATTCCTGCCAGGTACCCATTTACCTCACCTGGATTGAGTGTGGCAAATGAAGATTAATTCCTTGCCAAAGGACATTAGTACCACATCGGGACCAAATCACGACCTTTGAATTTCAAGTCAAGTACTTAAAACCACTCGACTATGACACTTCTACAATAGATGGCTCATTCAAATCCTGCTGGTTCCAAGATTTTTCTGACGCGATCAATTACAGATCAAGGACGCAATCTTTATTTACTGGATGTAAGCCAAAAATGTGTTTAAAACAATTAAAATGTTTTTGTATTACAAGTAGTTTAGGTATACCTGCATAAAGTAATTTAGGGATCATACTTGGAATCAGATACTGTAAGATATAACACATTTCCAAAACAAATCCCATTCCATGTAGTTAACAGGGGATCATTAGTGAATGTTCCCCTATCTGGGTTAGGGTTTGAATATCAGTGACCTCAATTGTCCAAAGTCTGTGTAAAATGGTGAACAAAAGTAGGTATCAGTGTCGCATATATATTTCACATCTTCTTTTCGTCTCACTGAATATACAGTGGAGTGCTATGTTCTCTTGACATCTATGTCTGGTACTTTTGTGCAAATTAATGGTTGATGTTAGCCAGGGCTTTTGCTTATCTTTGGTTTTGGTACATTAATTTATAGGTGTACAGGAGAAGGAGAGGTGCATTAGTTTTAAAATTAACAAAATGCTAGCAGTGAGACAATCTTTTTTCAGTTATGACTTGCATGAACATGTATGTCATGTTTGCAATGTACGATGTTTTGGTAACAAACTTATGCTTTCTCAAAAACAAACTGTAGAAATTGTGAAAAAGTGTTAATAATCAGCGATGGGAAAGTTGATAGTTGTACAAAAAACACAAGCCCCCTTGCGGAATTGTGTATGTATACCTACACTGTTGTTACCTATTGTTAACTGTAACTGTATAATTGTTTTAAATGGGGGCACGCTACAAGAGTCCTATCTCGCACCCCGGGGCAACGTGTCTGACACGGCCGGTTGTAGCAACTACTCCGAAGATCAAGATTACAGTAATCTTGATCTAAGGAGACACGAACGAACGAACCTACACTGTACATGTATATGTTTGGGTTACTGAATTTAACATCCGCTGGTGATTCAGATCGGAGTGCATAAAACACAGAAACATTGATAATTAATTTAATTTTGTTAGATTGTTATCGAGGTATTAAAAAAAATCATAATAATTGTTGTTTGTTTTTTTTTTTAAATTTAAATCCAGAGAGTGACATCAGAGATTGGTCTTCATGAACAGTTCACCTACTACTTTGCTCTCTTCCTTGTTATCAAAGACAAAGATGAGGAGGCAGGGACAAGTAAGAAGCCTTTAAATATTTCCTTTCAAGCATATAGGCCCGAATTCACAAAGGAGGTTTACCTCAACCCATGGTTTAAACCCTCATTCACATAACCCATCGTTTATAAGTTAGCGCAAAATAAGCTTACCTTGCCTTGCATGCATCTAATATTGGACCTCTAAGTGTGTCACGCTTATTTGCGCTAATTTTAGACCATGTGTTATGTAAATGAATATTTAAAACATGGGTTAAATTAAAATTTCTTTTGTGAATTCAGGCCAACTAGTGTGAACACAGAATCATGTCATTCGTAACCATAGTGCAGAGTTAAACCAATACAGACAATTTAGATTAACAGTAACATTGAGAAAGACAACATGATCAACAAAATAACTTAAAACAAGAATAAAAATTCTTCGGCCAAATCATATTTATAGGGAAAACTTTTGAGGCATTTTAGAAAGACATGCCCTAATCAACCAAAGTTCTATGTATAATTACTCAGCATTTTACCAGTTTTTCAGTTATCAGTACGGTAAGTGTAAGTTGTGCTTGATTTAGTAAGAATTGAACTTTTTCTTTAATTTAAAATGTTACTATAAAAGTTTAAGTATTTCTTTTTATGCTGTGATTATTATCAATATATGTTTTTTGAATTTTTAACTTTTTCAGTCATTAGGAGAATTCAAGATTTTGAATCACCCTACATCTCATTGAAAGCTGCCACAGGAACATGTAAAATAGTCCTGAGAAAAAAGTGAGTATTGATAAAATATTTTTTGCTTTGTCTACATTTAATGGTCTACCGTAAAAGCAGAACTTTCGCTTGCATGAAACATTCACATTTGCGAATTTCATGAGTGGTTCACATTCATAAAGTTTCATGCAGTACAAAAATTGAATCACAATGAACACAACGCTCACTTTTGCACACTGTATAATTTCCACTCATATCTGGATAATTTTTTAGGGAGGCGTAATTTGTTTGCAATCTAAATATTGGTCTACATGTACATGTATATGCCATGACCTCGTGTAGAAAGGGTAATTGATCCTTAAGATCTAAAACATCTTGAGATTTAAAGCCATTCCAGTAACGATGAAGCAAGCAAAGACCAAAGTCCACTTTAAACATTCCAGATATATACAATAAACATGGTTCTTTGAAGGCTAAATATTTACTTGTTGAGTTTTGTCTTCAATCAGGCTTCAAACCTGGAGATACATTGCATTTGCAAGCTACCACTAAAATTTATTGTGGAACAGTTGTTTACTAGTGTGGTTTATATTGAAAATGGTGATAACATTTACAGTGTACATTTATGCACATATTTATGTTTTTGCTTTCATGACAAAAGAAATGGTAAAAACAAACATAGTTAACAAAGATCAATATCATACTCTACCAGAAATCCTTTATAGTCTCTGTTATAAATACAAATCAGGCAAACCTTTGCAACTTTACAGCACTCCTTTTAAACCTTGGCGCTGATGTTTCACTGATCATCTTTCTTTTTTAATCTTTCAGTTACTGGGATCCAAGCTTTGATAGTGATCTTCTGGAGGATAGGGTCGCACTTCAATTACTATACGTACAAGTAAGAGATACACATAACTTGTCTACTCTGTCAGATCAAACCTTTTGTTCTCACTTACTTGTAATTTCCAGTTAAATTGTTATGTCTGCCTAGATATCTACATGAAAGTTTCAGGTGAACATTTACTGGTGGAGCCTGATGGCATAGCAATTACACACTGCTTGGCTTAACTTCATTACTATGTAAATGGAGAAAAAAATAGCAAGCAAGAGTACAAAATGTATTGATCATTGGACTTTTTCAGCGTGACAAAAACCTCAATTTTTGTATCTCAATATTTTGATCTTGCACATACCTGTAGTATTACTTGTCACCTCTTGAAATAGATGTAAAGTCTAGCATAGAGGTGATTAAATCATTACAAGGTACATGTATACGTAATCAGACAGATGGGAGGCAAGTGTTTTGGGATTAAAGATACTATGTCCCTTTTGCATCTATTTTATTCATTGAGTAAAAGAAAGCTAGTATAGCTTGCAAGAATAGAAAGCGAGTATCGGTGGATTGCAAGACAGAATGTCATGCAAGGTGTTACTTGGTAGAAGTCACCAAAAAAATCAACACAATTTAAAAAAAAAAAAAAATCATTTTTTCCTACATTTACCCTGAATGCCTGAAACTTTTGACAACCCCCCCCCCCTATTCTTTTGTTATTACTCTGGAATTGACGAATATAGATATTGTTCTATGGTGGATTATTTGCTCAGTTTATGAATTTCTCAATAATGAATCAATGTATGAATTTTCAATTCAACACTTTTTGAACTTCATACTGATGAATACCTAATATAATCACAAGTTTAGAATTCTGAAAGTAGAAAAGGAAATTTGACAGGAAGAGAGAACTGTCAGCATGGGCATGTTTGATGTTATTCTTGAACAGCACAGCAACAGGTTGCCAATTTTCTTAAAGTGACCTAGTTAGTGACATTGCCTCAGATTCTGAAACAAAATTCCTGGATTTAGCTCATGCTGCAATCATAATTATAAACTTTGGTAAGTCAGGAATCCCATGACTTTTACAAACCGATCGCCCGTCTGATTATCATGATATTTATGATTGGAAATCAAAATTTTCATTTTTATTTTCCCAAAGGTTTTTATAACACTACAGTCTTTTGGAGAAAATGAGTTTTGTAAAACAGGTCACTCAAAGATTTTTTACTTTTTTGAGGCACTTCATGATCATTTTGAAGCACAATTTTTTTAGGGCTTCAATATGACACCATATCACAGACACTTAACAAGTAGGGCCATGCATCTCAGATTTAACATTGTTAAATGATGCCTTTAAAGTCATGAGACCAAGACAGAACTGAAGATATGATGTTATTGTTTGGGTTTCTCCACACTGTAGACCTTGAGCGACGTGAGTAGAGGATGGGTTGTCGCTTCAGAAGATCAGATGGCAAGGTTACAATCTCTCAAGGCTAAGAATTCTAAGAAGGAGGTAGGTACTTGTACATACGATTAACAAATATATATTAATAATAATAATAATAATAATAGTTCAGTTCTTGTATAGCGCATAATAGGTTATGAAATAACATCTCTATGGGCTTCCAAAGAGCTTTGGAAATTATTACCATAGCTTTAGCTCCGGCAGCCGTTATCAGTGCACAGTGCATTTCAAGAAATAACCCTACCAGGTACCCATTTACCTCACCTGGGTTGAGTGTGGAAAATGTATATCCATGTCTTGCCAAAGAACATTAGTGCCGCAGCAGGACTCAAACCGCTGCCCCTAGTGATTGACAGTCCGGTGACGTATCCACTCGACCACAACAACTCTACAATTCATACCCTTACTAAGTTTTGTAATACTTGAAGTATGTGAAGAATTGATTTGTCCTGATATATGTTTCTTGAGAATGTGAAATATTATAGCTTACAGCTAAAAGTATTCAACAATTGACCTTATTCAATGAGTACACCTTCCATTTTTGAGTTACGAAAAACACAAAAATTGTCAAACTTACACAGAATATGAATAATTCAGTTAACTGTTCATGTTCTTTCTCTCTCTGTAGTATATCAAGTTTGCACAAACCCTGAAGTACTATGGAACGCTGCAGTTCAAGCAGTGCACGGTCAACTACCCCGAGCCGGAGACAAAGACAGTCATCAACACAGGCAACAAAGAGCTTTACTTCCGGGTCGAGCTCCCAGACAAGTCCACCAAAGAGGGCGTCTTCCGAATCACCAGAATGAGATGCTGGAGGATAACAAACAGTGTAAGTCATTAATATATTACTAACAGGCTGGTTCAGTGGTTGAGTGGATATGTCACCTGATTGTGGATCACAAGGTCCGCGGTTCAAGTCCGGCCGAGGCACTAATGTCCTTTGGCAAGACATTGATCTACCGCTCTCCACCCAGGTGTTAAACGGGTTCCTGGTAGGATGCCAAAGTTAATGTGGTTAGATTAGCAAGTGTGCGCTTGTAAAAAATGATGCCTAGCTGGAATGCTCCCCATGGAGTGGAGAATGTGCTTACATTGTGTGAGGGTAAGCCTGAATCCGATGGCCAGGGTCCTGAAATGCGCTATATAAGAACAAGCTATTATTATTAGTAACAGGTTGGTCCAGTGGTTGATCAGTGGTCCTGGTACCATGACGTCCTGGGTTCAAAATCAGGTCGATGTGTTTAGTGGTCTTTCTTGAGGCATTAAACTTTACTTACAAAGTCCTTCCGGTAGGATTTAGAGCTGTGGGTCTACTTGTTGCTTATCTACAAGCATTAACTTGCTTCTTTAGCAGTCAGGTAAAATGTTCCATCAGTCAATCACACAGACATGGTTTCTTAAGGTGCTATTTCACATTTGAAATCAATTTGAATGCAAAATAGGTCTAGGGTATCGTGCATGTAGAACAAAACAACAACAAACAAAATCAGGGATATAATTACAATTAGCAGGGAGCGTGGATGAGGTTATCTGGTGGCATAGATAGTTTTCATTATATCCCACATACAAAGAATCTTGCTCTACGATTGGTTAAAGGTAAATCACGTGAGGAAAGATAGTTCGCCCATTATTGATGGGAGAAGCAAAAAGATTGTTACACTGTGTAGATAGTACTACTATCTACACAGTGCAACGCACTTTTATTGAAGATAGAGGTACTATCTACAAAGGGCAACGCACTTTCACTGAAGATTATCCAAACGCGCACTAAAACAGGCGTAATTAAGTGCGCATTCCCAATGAGCGCAATTAAAGAAAACACATGCGCGCACCGTACCCTCAAGGGGTTGGGTTAAACTTCAACTTTTTTTTGTGTTAATTTGGGTCTAGGTGTCTTTTATGTAGATGCATACACGTCCTTTTCTTTTTGTAATTAAATTGTTTTAGATGTGGAATATAAAGCAAATAATCACCTTTTGGTTTTCAGGCGATGGCAAACTATTACTTCCTCGTCGATCAGAATGTATACGCTATCTTTCCTCAGCTTCGCTTCGGAAAGATAGCTACATCCAGATCGCCTCGGAAGTGATAGTTTGTCCCATCACCTTCACCAACGGTAATTATTTGCTTACTATCAAAAGAAGACATACAGTCAGATAGGACTTTTTATTGTGTAGATAGAGGCTTTAGAGGTTTTCCAAATTTCTAATGATAATCAGTATTGTGTTATTTTATGTCAATGAGGTAGACCGAGTCTGTGACATTTCTTGTACTAAGCTACTTGTGTTCGATTTTGATCATAATTGGCTACATCTTTCGCCTTTCTGAAAATATTTGTATTTATGACAGATATTTCTCCATTTGAAGCTTACACAGTTATGTATCTTACTACCCTTTGAATAGCAAATATTGACTGCTTTCCACTAGAATATTCTATCATTGAATTTTCTATTGTACAGGCTGATAAAGAGGCTAGGAGGTTGTCCGGTGCTGAACCCATTGTGGTTGATAACAGTCCAAAGAAGAAAGACAGTCAGCTAGAACTGTCCTTCGAGTACCTGGTGGCCAAGAACAAGCTGCAATGGGTGACCATTAGAAGTCAACAGGCCATTCTTATCAGTCTTTGTCTACAGAGCATGGTGGATGAACTGCTTCTGCAGAAGAAAGGAGGACACATCAAGAGGGTAGGTTTCTTCCAGAGAGAAAATGAAGGTCTATCATCCTCCCCAGAGCCATCTATACACAGAGTTCGGCCAACCCGGTTCGAGTTGGACACAATATGGCCACTACTGCTTTGTTGGGCAAGCACAAAACAAAAGTATATACGCCATGTTGTGACCCAGTAAAACCAAGTTGGCCAAACTCTGTATATACATGGCTCTGATCCTCCCCAGTAGCCCATTATGGCCTTGGAAATTGAGAGGTACATGTAATCAAGGGTAGTTCACATTACATGAGGCAGCCAATCTGAGCTTGTTGTAGTTGTGTGCTTTGCACCCCAGCGTTCCTGTTTATGTTGTTTGATTTTGACTTTTTACTGAATACATGTGTTATGTTCTAGTGAGTACATGATTAGAAACAGAAATATATTTGTATCTAAAGTTATTCTACAAAGTATATTTTGAGAAATGCTACAGCAATCTACCTTTAACATGTCAGGTCTGGTTTCTGGGTGTGAGTTCGGCTGCTTGTAGTATTAAAAAGGGACGAACTGAACATGTCTGTTTTTATTCCTTTGTTCCTTAGTGCTTATAGGCAATATGCAATTTGCAGTATAGAAATATCTTATTATTATTATTATTATTATTGCAATAATGATATTTTGATGCAAGTGTGCCAGTTAATTGCTGAAAGGGATTACATGAAGAGCTATTTGAGCATTAGGGATGTATTGGATTAAAATTCTTTTTTGTTGTTGGTTGTATTGCTCTTTGATCGCTAACTGGTAGCAACGTAGGGATGGCTGACTGCCACTTCAGAGGTGTCGTGGTTGAGTGGATATGTCACCGGACTGTGGATCACAAGGTCCGTGATTCAAGTCCCGCGGCGGGACTAATGTCATTTGGCAAGACATTGATCTACATTTGCCACTCTCCACCCATGTGTTAAATGGGTACCCGGTAGGATGCGAAAGTTAATGTGGTTGGATTAGCAAGTGTGCGCTTGTAAAATGGCCACTGGCTGGAATGCTCCCCAGGGAGTGAAAAATGTGCATACATTGTGTTGCGGGTAAGTCTGAATCCGATGACCGGGGTATTGATATGTGCTGCGCCTAGAAACAAAGTATTAGGCACATTATAAATGTGAGCTATTATTATTATCATTCAGGGATGACATGAACCAATCACATGCCTTGACGATCGTTGACCAATGTCTCTTCTTGTTTTTCTCCTCAGCCACATGACAGGGTCAAGGGTCCCACAAGGCAGTTCAAAGGTCGTGACGGTCAGGTGATCACATCCATCTCTACGTCGAGTCCTGTAGTCAGGCCGGAGCTACCCAACGGCGCACCGGTCAGTACATGTATATCTTGATTGAACTATCAAAATAACATACAACTATAGAAACAAAGTAATATAAATATACTCACTGGATGATTAACAGTATTACCCCCCCCCCCCTCCCCCAAATATTTCAGTAAAAGTCATGTCGTAATCTGCAATGTATCTACTGCTTGCCCTCTGAGCAATATAAAACAATTAGACAGTTAGGCAGGCAAGAAAGCAAGACTTTGTTCTCATACGGTCCCAATGGAAATCAGTCTTGTATTAAACTGTTTGGGCTTGTTTAACCGTGTATAAATACAGTTATCAATTCAATTCAATTCATTTTAAGACAACAAAAGATTTAGAATGACAAGGAAATGGTCGAATGAGTAGATGTTCTGATTGAAAAACAAGTAAGGAATGCATACATTTCTGTTGATAAAGATAGAGTTTAAACTTTTAAAACCCATATATTGTCAGTACTTTGATAAACACAACTGAATTTAGTGAAGAATACGTTTATGTACAAGAGAAGGAAGTATGAGTGTAATAACAGGGTGGTCAGAGTGTACATAACGTGAAACTCGGAATTTACCCTGTACATAGATGTACATGTATAACAAGAGCTGTGTATTGTTTTGTTGTTCACAGAGCCCGACAGAAGAAAACAAAACAGCATCTAAGGCGATAGACTCTGTCAAAAAGATATCGGTGAGTGGTCATTTTTCCTATTGAAGTGATAACTACTATAATTCTAAATCTCCCACCAAAAGCTGATACCTTAAGACAACGTTTCAGATATTTTCCAGTCAATTAGAGGACCCTACCCCATGCATAATTTATCCCTAAAAAAACTATTTCCTGCTCAACTACCCCGGGACATTTAACCCTCAACTACTACCCGTTTAACTATTATAGATATATTGACTGCTATGAGAGGCATGGATATTTCTATAGGCTCAAGGGGATGTTAAATCCTGCTATGACCTTGAGGCGCTCCAGGAATTCTTTTTAGATTTTGTTGTGAATTCGGTATACAAAAGATATATGGACTGCTTTAAATGGTCGAGCATCAATTAGCAGTAGTTTAAACCCCATCACACCAAACTAGTTCTCACTACTTTCTGGAACCGCCCTAGAAAATCGTAAAACGGGTTATGGTCGGGGTAGAATGTGTGGATAATGTCAATAATACGATTCCAGTTCGTTCATAAACAGTCCTCAATACATCCATCTCGTCTGTATCCCGTCCAGAGTCACTTCATATCATACTCAAGCTATATATTGTTTTTTAAATGTCTGAATTGGGATTTAATGTATTGAATTTCTTTCCATTTCACTTATAGGACAAAATTCATAGTGCGAGTGCAAAGGCACAAGGCCCATCAGCTGTTGTGGAGAATGAAATCTTTGAAGGCATCGGTGAAGAAGACCTTTGAACCTTGGGTGCCCTTTGAACTCTCTTCATTTTCTTTGTAAATGCTCTGATATATCATAGCATTAAAAAACACCTTATAGTTTTGAAACAGAGAATGACGTGTATGGATCGCTGGATCACTGTAAGACTGCAGAGAATCTGAAACAGGTTGTAAAAAGACCATGTCTATGTTTATTAATTCAAAAAAAAAATCTTTCTTTGAGCTTTGTACACATGTACATGAATATATGCAAACTTAACACTGTCTTGGCAAATTGTGCTCTCTACTGCTTTGAAAAAAAGTTTTATATTATTATATACAAATTATTGTCAGATTTTAAAGGTTTTAGACTTTACAATAGATACTGTAATTAGAAAGAAAAAAAGTTTTGTTGTTGTTGAAAAGTGCACAATACAAAGGAGAGGATATAGCATACAACTCCTAACTTACAGTCTGTAGTCTGTGATATTCTTTATGATAACTGTTGCATGTTTTTATTGACATGAACATTCAGGCATGAAAGCAATACAAAAGTATCATACTAAAGGCCGGCTCACATAGTAGCGGCAAACGACGGAATCACAACAAATTTTTTTGCCGCCACAAAATTTTCAACATGCTGAAAATTTGCTGATGAACGCGACTGATAACTTCGGCCGTCTGCAGTCGCAGGCGGATTCGTCAGCGACAATTGGAGGCAACACATGATGATTGGCGGAAAATTCAATATTGCAATTCGCAGCTTAACGTAGCTTGCGGTACCCCTCTATTTGTCATAGTGTGAGCCGGCCTTAAAGAAGATTATGGTACATGTAATTGAATTCATTGAATAATTTAATTAGAGGCACATGGTGTCATATATATAAAAACATAATGCACATTTACAGAAAATTTCATATTATTATTCTTCTTGACCTGTTTTCTTCAATCTTTCATTTTGCTAAGAATATATTCTTTCCATAAATCATTTCATATTGTTTTTCTTTCATCAAATATATCACTTTATATGAGTCTCTTTGTAATTATGTACAGTTTATCACCATTTCAAAAGTATTTGAGGCTTATTTGTACATTATATTATCGAAGTCGAAATCATCAAATTACTTGTATTTAATAATCAAATTATAAAAGAGCGACTCCTTCTTTGAGTGTACTTGTGCTTGTTCCAAAGCATGATGATTTCAGTACCCTAAAAATGACTTCTGTGAGGTTAAATTCCTTCAAATTTTGCCTAAGGTATGCAATTACACTATATTACTCACTGTAATTTCTTTGGAGATGGAAGTAGATTCTGATTTATTTTTAAAAATATTTTTATTTAATTTTATTTTTTTCAAATGGTGCACCCGCAAGCCTACTGCATATATTTTTTTCTTTTAATTTTTTTTTCTTCTTTTAATTTTTTTTTAGGGAGGGGGGAGGGTTAAGAGACCCAACAGACTTTTGCTCTATATGTTTGTGGTATCCTATATTCAGAGTACTGTTCACCTGTAGATATTACTACTGGATAGAGATTGCACAAGTTCACACGCCAAAAATAAAGGTGAACTGACTAGTCGATGCACTGGAACAAAGTTTAGATACCCTGAAGTTAATTCCAAGGTCGACTTCTGTGTGCTCATTAATACACTTTTTACAGGAGCGGGTTGGCTCCTGTATTAAACCTTGAAATGATATCCCTTTCAGCAGCTCCTAGAAGCCATCACAGGGACCTGTTTCACATGGCCTTTTTTAAAATGACAAATGACCAAAATCAATGACAAATCTGCTGATAACCAATCAGAAGCAAGAATTTCAGTAGCTTATAACAAAGACTGTCATTTGTCACTGATGACAAGTTTTGTGAAATGGGGCCCAGGATAATGATATGCTGTGCGTCGGTGTGAGATGCCACACTGCAGTAAACGATTTTGTCATCTGTACAATCAAAGGTGAGTGTGCTCTACAAATTCAAACATGCCCCTGTGTTAGTAGCATACAAGATCCCAACCAGAGGGCTGCATCACAGAATGACTGGTAGTACAGCCTCTCTAGGTTGGGGATTTTGACAACTGAGGGATGTTTCACAAAGATCCTAAGTTGCACTTATCTCTAAGTTGGACTTAACAATCATGGAAAGCCGTCAGCCTCTATGAAAAATATTTTGTAAAAGTTATTTTAAAAGGCATAAAATGTTGATTCAAATCATTCATATTTTTTTATTATCGAGGAGATTTCATGTTCTTGATGTGGATTTTATAAAAAGTCTAAAATACTTGAATTTTTGGCTTTTGAATATATTTTATTTTAAGGCTACAAACGGCTCTCCATAATTTTGAAGTCCAACTTAGAGTTAAGTTTGACTTATGATCTTTGTGAGACACGCCCCCAGGTCCTGGTAGATGGTTCCAGGGTCTAACAGTGCGTGGAAAGAAAGAGTCAACGAATTCAGTAGTCAATGGGTTGATAGAGAACATTTGGTTTTCCATTTGTGATCTTTCATCTTTGTCCATATGCATGTCTCTTTTTACAATGCACAAAGTTTAGTTTAAGATAATTAGTCACCTTTTAGAATTCTCTTTCGTTCATCTCACTTCAACTCATTGTGTGAATATACATATTTTTGTGATGTGTTACTTTCAGATTTTACTTAAAATTATAGAAGAGAGAAAAACAAACAAACAGCCTGGCAGCCTTAGATATTTTCAACTGCTTGTAGAAGTTTTAAACTCCTCTTCCTATTTATATTTTAAAATTCATGTTTGTATATCACTGCAGGTCAGTATATTTATGTCATTCCTAAAGACTTGTTTGCACGCAATGCTGCAGTAAGTCAACCCAGCAGACTGCCGCAGTAAATTATAAATCTGTTTAACGTTTTAATGATTGTCAACTGGGGTGTGGAAAATCATCTGTTACACAGGCCCCTAAGCGTACTTCTCTTTGTGCTGGAAGATATATTAAGTGCTATGCCAGTGTTAATTTACTTTGCCTTCTCAGTTTTGACAGTTAACCTTATCTGCCGAGGCTTCATCTTAATCCAATGTACTTCCAAAATCAGTATAAAATCATGCCAATGAAAAATAAGAAATAGAAATGACGTGCCTAGAATATTTAGCAAAGCTTCATACTAAAATAGTCTTTTTGATGAATGAAAATGAAAATACTGTATTTTGCAAAGGGAAAGCACCATACAAAATTTTGCATCATAGATATATTTTCTGTCAGCAAATACCACATGTATTTTTGCTTCAATATAAACATGTACATGCAGTGCCAAATGTGTGATAAGTACTTCACTGTACCATGCCAGTTACATGATTTTAAAGGTAAAGACCAGTTATGGTCATGCGATTGCATTGTGAAAGAAACGTTGTGGAATCGATCAGAAAAGGTTGATCATCTAGCATCTAGCATCTGCAAGGTTCTGGAATCATCAAAATGATAAGAAATTTGGCCCATTCTTCGTAAAGTTACAAGCACTATACACAGAAAGATGTGTATGGGACTACCCTATATCTCTCACAGACCATGAGAGAAACAAATTTACCAAATATATGAATTAGTAGGCGGTTTCCCGGCAAATTTGTTATCATCATGTATTAGTCAAAACATATTCTTTCACATGATTGGTAATGAGAGCTTCCATTTCATTTTTTGAAATTGGGGCATTTCCAATACTGGTCTTTACCTTTAAAGGCCTGTATAAGAAATCATTTAGTATGTATAGAATAACACATGTTTTATTTCATACCCCTCAGAAATTAAAAAAGGTTTTTGGACCTATATGTAACTCTATTGTCATTTTAAGGTAAGTGCAGACATGTACTTGTATGTCATCCACTTTTTATTCAATGCTGTGTTAAAGACATATATAGTGTATTTCGGAGTAAAAAATTGTATGCAGTTCCATCTTAAGATGTATATTTCATATATATATATATATATATGAAAGAAAAATGCTCAGTATTACATTGTATTATAAATGTAGATAAATTCATGTTAATGATTGTATCTTAAGCACAGGTGAATGGGTTACAATGTAGATAGAAAGTTGTATGAAATCGCTTTAAGTCGGGGTGAAATTTGTATAGATAATTAAATGAAAATATATGCCTAAAATTGCCAATCAGTTTAAAACAAAATGAGTTAGTGATATTCTGTGTAATCTAAATATGTATTTGGGCCCCTTCAAGCACAGCTAACTTTTGGACCATGCTATACATGTATATGAAAATGTCAGAATTTATCATTTAACACCAGTATACCTGCCTTTTTTAGTCCACATCATGTGTTTTAATATAATTTATTTTAGACAATGTGTATTGTTATAATAGACTTTTCTCCTGTATGATATGCTACTGTTAAGTTGAAAAATTAGCCAGAGTCTTAAAATGCGTTCTTATATAGATCATTATTTAGATTTTTTTTGTTAATAACTGTAAAGTAAAATATACTTAACGTTAGACTTTTCTCCCATCCATATCTTGTTTCATAATTATCATCCCCAAGTCTTCCATTACATTACTTGTAGCATCATTTTACAGGGTCAAAATACATATTTATGCAGAAATTTGCTTTTTTTTGTAATGCAGAAGTTTTTCTGACCAAAGTGAAATCAAGACAACTTTTTTAATATGACGTACAAATGGTCTCTCTCTCTATTACTCTTTCTCTGCTCTCTCTCATTATATTGCATTTAAGACTTGGGATCTTGCAGAAACCATGTTAAATAGGAGTATTTAACAAGTCTTAGTAATGGTGTACTCACCTCTTGGTTAAACATATATATTGAACTGCAAGGGAAACAATGAATACATTGCAATAGGCCTTAATGAAGTTGCCCCCTTAAACAAAATGACGATTAACAGTAACACCAGTTAGAATTAGTGTAGTTTATGTAGATTAGAGAGTTCATACTTCCCTGGATGAGAATTGTAAATATGCCGCATTTATTTTATTTTCCATCATATTATAGTGACAGACCACCTGTTTTAGCATAACTGTAATTTTTAATTTTTTATTTTGTTCTTTGTATCATTGTTATGAAGGAGACACTAAGCAGCAAGCCTCTTGTTTATCCCTCACCAATTGTGTAAATGCCATCATTATACTAATATATCATGTCAAATTGCAAGTTAATGTACCGAATTATATATATTCACAGATGATATTGAAATAAATGGACTATTTTATAGAACTGGGATGACTGACAATAGTTCTCTTTTCTATCCGTATGTATGAAGGTTAGATGCTGCTTGTAAGTGTCGGCTTGCATGGTAATATAGATATACAGTAGGCTTGCGGGTGCACCATGTGCTATAGTTCTCCTTAGAACTATAAGCTAAGAAAGATAACCAACAGTCTTTTTCAAGACTATACCAAACAGTCCTTTTCAGGACTACAAAACCCTCAAGAAAGATTACCGAGAGTCCTTCTCAGGACTCCTCAATCCTCCCTCTCTATGTATGTGTACGAAGGTTGGCAAAGGATGACGATAGACATCGAGTATTTTGACATTTGATTTGCTGGGTGGCGGCGGGGGGGGGGGGGGGGGTGATTGTCCAGGGGGTAATTGTCCTAGAACCAGCAACTTTGCCAATTTCTTAAATTTTGGAAAGGTTCCTAACACAGTTAATTCGAATGATTTTGTGTTTTTTCAGAGAGAAAAAGATGCCCGTACACCTATGAATGTAATACATTCCAGCATTGGTAAAGAGGTCCACATTGAGTCCTACACTGATGTAATAGCACATGATAGCTGAAAAATTATCTCATCTTACTTAATACTAAAAGGACCTTTAATCAACCTTGCTTTTAAATTTAAACATATCAAAGAGGAATACTGACGAACCACGACATCTTCAACTTTAACGCGCTCTTTAATCTTCTTATTGCATCGATGTTCGCTCGCTACATTATGCCCAGATACATTAAAGGATTTTTATTCGCATAAAGGTGCGGATGTAATTTCGAATCTTTGATGCTTGCACTTGCAAATGGCGCAATCCTTTTCAGAAACCGGAGACAGAATTATGTCGACGGTAGGCATCAAAAGGATTTGTTCAATATAAGTCCAACGTTCGTATCAATTTTGTAATATAGTCCTATTGATCCCGAATAGAACAAATAAAACGTCTGCTAGTCATATTGACATTTCCATCTTCGAATCCATCGTTGACAAGTTATCTATAGTAAAACTTTGCGAGCAAAAAGCTTTCGGTGACAAGCATTTTATCATCACGGTTCTGCCCATTAATTAAAGCGTCGGCAACCATGTAGCAAATAATGTATTATAGAAAATTCTCTCAGAAATTGCACGTTTTCAAACTCTATCTTAATCAGACAATTTAAATCTCACGATGCTTTCAGAAAATGACCTATTCATTTCTTTCTTTAATCAAAGAGAGCATTTCTCTCTGTTAATATAGATTTATGTCATAAAGTCATAAACTTGGTCCTTTGAAAGAAAAGAAAATATGATTTGAAAAAATACATCGATCTGGCTCCTAAAACGGGTACTTTACATTAAAAAAAAATATATTTACAATGATGCAAAGACTATACAAACACGTTTTCTTTCAAAGACATATCTTAGGTCATTTTATAATAGTATTACCTAATCGTCCTGTGAATTTCAAAATACTTAAAGCATGAATAACAAGTTATGATCATTTTGGTAAAACCTAGCATTTTCAAATGTTACAAGAAAGTGCTTTAAATAGCTTCAGTGCACAATATACGTATGCCTAGCGCCTGAAAATTTCGTGGCAAGCCCTTAAAGTATCAATTATTAAGACAAAAGGGGGTTATAAATTAAGATTCATATGATTTAGGTAATTCAGCGTCTTAGGTATGTCTTTTATAAAGGCATAGCGACCGTATCAATACAAAATTCGAAAACATTCTGGAGAAACCTATAGGGCATGTTAAGCAATGTTCATAAATCTTCTGAGAATGGATATCATAAAGTCGTTATTGCATATCTTGAGGTGAATATTTGAGTTGAAAAGGTAATACATTTGTTATTTCCACTTAAAACAATAATTCGTGTTTCCTACAGTATATTGCTCTTCTCTTCTTCGAAACCTACTTAATCATTTAGGTTGCTTCTTGTTCTCGAAAAACATTTTGAAAACATGTTCATGAGTGACATTTAACAAATGTCAGCGATGATTTTACCAAGATATTATGGGTAAGAATGGAAATTGAATGTTGCGAAATGTCAACAGGTATACGCTCATTGTGCATTGATGCTTTTCAACGCGCGCTCCTTGCACAATTTGAAAAGTGATTCATTTTACACAAAGCGATCATTACTCAAGATACTGTCAAAATCTCGTTGCATTTTTTTCCTCGAGACACCCCATATATATATATATATATATATATATATATATATATATACAAAGAGGGAGAGAGAAAGAGAGAAAGAGAGAGAGAGAGAGAGAGAGAGAGGGAGGGAGTGTGTGTGTGTGTGTGTGTGTGTGCGTGAGTGCGTGAGTGTGCGTGTGTGTGTGTGTGTCTGTCTGTCTGTCTGACTGTCTTTGTTCAACGCACTGTTTTATTCCCCACCCAGTAACGTGGCGCAAGTGAGATCTGGCAGTCTTGTAAAGATTGTCTGATGTTCAGTCCTGCATGCAGAGATTCAAATGAAAATGGTGCCTACATGTACTGGGAGGATCTATCAAGACATATTATGAAACCCATGATTCAATATTGATACTTCAAACAATACAACTTTTAAAAAGTGGGACATTTTTTCTGACTCACTCTGTATAATCATCATCTATTCAATAAGCCATGTCATGAACAACTCGATTAGTTTAATTGTTGAAAAACGAATTTAATTCTACTATGAGTAGGATAATGGGGGTGTTCATAAACGGATGAATGCAGTTGTGAGATAGCGCAAGCAAATGAAAATGTAGGCATAGAGATGTGTTTTAATTATTCAAAAACAATTTCCGCCAATAATTTATGTCAAAATGCAAAGAAAGAAAGAAAGAAGAAAATGGCCTTAGTTGAGTTCTTGTTTAAAACCACAAATGCCTGAAATTATTTAAAAAATACTCTAACTTCATTAAACATCAACCTAAGACCCTTACAGGGGATGAATTTCAAAATGTTAGGCCTACCATGATATTTCAATGTACTGTCTTTATTAAGTATAATAAGATACACCTATCCACATATCCCTCACGGCATCCATATATTATCTCTCTGGTTATCCCCCCTCTCTCTCTCTCTCTTTCTCTCTTTCCGTCTCATTGTCTCTGTCTATCTGTCCCTCTTTCTTTATGCCTTCTCTCTTTCTTTCTGTCTCTCCCCTCTCTCTGTATGTCTGTCTCAGTGTCTCTTTTGCGCTTCCACCTACGAATCCCTTCCTCCCTCCTTCGAATTCCCTCTCGTCATGTTCCTCCCCGCATCATGCTCTCCCATCTTCACCCTTGGTCTTTTATTCTTTATCTATATATTATCATTCATTATCTTGTTTTATTTTCTTCAACCTTTTCTCTTTTTTAATAATCTCGGTCTTTTTTTCCTTCTCTTTCTTCTTCTTCTTCTCTAGGGTCTTCCTCTAATTGGAGGCCATTCTCCCCCTTTTTTTCATTTCAAGTTCATGTCTATTTATAAACTTAAATAAAGTGATATTTGATATTAGTATTAGGTTGGACATAAATGGAGCTTTTTAATGAAATAGTGACGTCGTCAACTATAGAGGCCATTTTTTTGTAGATTTGGTGTCCTCTCTTTTTTTAATTTACGCATTACATTTTGCTCTCGAATGGCAAAAATTGTTTTTTGAATAATTAATACACATCAATATGCCTACATTTTCAATTGCTTGCGCTATCTCAAAACTGCATTCATCCATTTATGAACACCTACTTATCCTAATCATAGTAGAATTATATTCGGTTTTCAACAATAAACTAATCGAGGTACTCATGACATGGCTTATTGAATAGATGATGATTATAATATGTCATGCACGATGCATTGCACTTCAGGTCGCCATGGCGATCATTCTTCTCATCTCATTTCCATTTGTTTCTTACCAATGCTAGGAAATAATCATTTCATTTTGGCAGGTTTTGTAGTTTAGTAAAAAAAAAAAAAAAAAAGATTATGGGTATTGTATGTCTTTCCTTTTCTTGGGGGGGGGGGGGGGGTAGCCGTAAGTAAAACAAGATTAATCATATTATTTGTATACGATAGTGGATTCAGTGGAAATTATCACAAACCAAATACTTTGATGGTCATACAATATTTAGAGTTGCACTGTTTGCCTAAATATGTCATAGGATGAATCCCCCGAACATAATGTCGATAATCAGAGAACATTGGTGAGCATTTATCATCTCGCGCTATCAATATTTTTGATTTATTTAGGGTGTATTTCGGTATCTACATTTACAATATTTCTTCACAGAAAAAACATTAAAAGTTCATCAAATATTGTACAGCCATGAACCCATAAACATATGGAACAAAGTACTGTTTGGAAATCATTCCTCCTTGCTAACCTTCTTCCAACCGCATCGCATTATTTGGTTTCAAAACATAATGCACACTCATCACAATGGATTCTGTCTTTTAAAGTGTATCACGTGCATTTTAATTGGTAGGAGTGAAAGCTATCATGTAGATGTACAATTAAAGATAATCTGAAAGTTTCAGTGAAAACGGACCATATTATTAACGATAACAATTGGAAAAGCTGATCTGATCGATTCCTTAATTCTCCCAACTATATTATTACAATTTAATTACATTTTAGGTGAATGTAAATCGTCACAAAGCAATGAATTGGCTCTATATACCATTCCAGACATTTAAGTGTTGACAGATTTTTATAGCCTGTTTTATGACTTATTTTCAAGGAACAACGGTTAGGAAAATTTAAAAATGCCGGGTTGGGAGAATTTACTGTTAATCACTGTTAGAAGGTCTTGCACAGAGACACCTTCATAGAAAACCATACATATCTTTGCGGTTTGAGGATTTTCTCAGGATTTTTTGCCTGTTAGAAAGTTAGTACAGTAGAAGGAATATAATAAGTAACATTTCTTACGAAAATTACACAATTTTTTCATCAACCTTCAACAATGTTACCGAGTCACTTATATATATATATATATATATATATATATATCAGTGATGGGTCCAGGTGGGGGCCGATTCCAAAAGAAAGGG